ACAAATATACCACGGAAGTCCATCCTCTCTGCTTTTATGATAATATTAGGCCATTATTAACTCCAGCAATTAAATACAGGAGGAGCCGACGGGGTCTGTTCTTCTAAATAACCGTTCTTGTACAAATTCAGTTTTCCTGGGAAAGGGATTTTGAGCTACATTGTTGACAATCTCACAAGCAAATGTGGCGCCCTTCCTTATTTAAAATAATTTTGTTCTTTGCCAACGTCTTTTTAAAAGGTCAAAAAGGCTATATAACGTTTTTATGGTCAAAAAAGGCTTTTATTTTTTTAGTTAAGAAATTTTTATTTTCCTGGCAAAAATTCTTAGAAAGTATTCCTTGCCAGGAGAGTTTTTTTTCCTGAATTTCTCGCTGGAAACCAGTTGTACTTACAGCTGGCTGGGACGTTAAGAACAGATATATTTCTCCCAGCAATCCGTCGGCTCCTCCTATAGATTAGGCAGTAGAAAAACAACGACGTCTGAACCGGACTTAATTACGTTAAACGCTTTCGAGATTGCAGCAAAAGAAATAGGTCATTCATTGTTGATAATTATTTCGTTGTGTAGAGGTATCACATAAGCCTTACCATTCTTGACCAAGTAGGTAGCCATCCCTTGTATAAAGAAAAAAATCCCTCTTGCTTAACCTGAAACATTTTATCAAGTAAAATAAATTACTAATTTATGACAATGTACAACTTCTTCGTCTTTCAACCTTTAAAGTKAAAATCGTTGCATCGCGACTTATTCGTTTTGAAGTGTGTTTAGAGTGGAGCTTTCCGTWAACTCGTTCAGTCATTGGTTAGTAATTTGTTGTAAGCTGTGATGAAACGGTTTATGCTGTAACTCTCAAATCGTGATCTCTTCATCCACACTTATCCGAATGGGCACAAATAAATTCAGTTAATAAAATCTACGAGTTCATTTTTTTTCGGCTCGGTATCCTAGTCATTCGCGCGCTGTGATTGGCTAGCGCGCGGTCCGGTATTTCACGATCTGCCCGTTCCACGGTATCCTGGAGCTAGACTGCGAGGAAAGTTGCAGACAATACAAACWAAATAATAAAAATGTTATTTGCCGGCTGCGCTCRRTCCGTACTGTCAAGACCTCGGGCAGTGTTTTCCTATACGGACCTCCCAGCCGGTAAATAACATATATGTATACTTACAGCCCGTTTAAAGCAGTCTATAGACCCTCGATATTCTGATGGATTGTTCATTATTCTAGTTTTAACGACATCTGCAGGAGTACTGATGATAGATGCTACAAATCCCGAACACACACTGTCRAATCAAAGAAAAATATGACCATTGAATTGATTTTAGATAACATTTACCAGACAGAAAGAAAAAGAAACTTATCGAAGCTTCTAAAATCAAGAAAAAGAGTCATACCTCGAGACTGTGTGTAACACCCAATCATCCTTCATGTTGGTATGTTTGAGAATGTTGTGTTTAACGGTATCATACGTTGTCAGATCTAAAGACAGAAACCAATCAAGATGATGTAAAGAGAGATCCCAAAGACCGTACATTTAGAATAGAGTTATACTGAATAAAACATAGTCTAAACATGGAAACATTACGAGACAAGCATTGAATAAAAATAACTTGAATAAAATAGTTGTGATGAAAGTCTAAAATGGATTGTATACAATGAAGCCTTGTCTGCTATTTGTGCCTGGCTACAACATCTTCAGGGACAATCCTAATATTCGCATAATGCTGCTTAAGGACAACGTCAYACGTTTAAAGTAAAAAAACAATATTTACAAAACAACAGCGCTGATGTTTGACCTGCGGCTACGTCGAAATAATCTGTAATTTTTTATATCTCTTGACATGATATAATTTTATTAATGTATAATTTTTCACATTTACAAGAAACAATTTTAATCAGTTAGATGCGTGGTAAAARTCTCACCTCCCATATTAACCAGAGCTGCTCGTTGTACATTAGGAAACCACCCTTTCCACAAGCCTTTGAGCCCATGGTGCTTGATAATGTTTCGAAATGCATGTAGTGTGCTGCGTACTCTTCAAAGGGAAAATAAAATCCATATCATTGAACAATAAGATAAAATGACTTTGAGGGAAGTTAGAAAAGAACCTCACCTTGGCTTTCTTTTCTCAACAAGAACACGCCTTCCTTCCATTTGCATTTGGACTTTGACTAAATCTGTTGGGCTGGATATGAACTGGCCAACAGCTCCAGCAGTCATGCCACTTATAACAGACTTCCTATATTATCAGGAAAACTGGACATCACAATAACATCACAATAACAATCTATATGCCTCGAATCGATTTTATATTGTGATTGATTGATGTAACATAGTTATCTTTTAAAAACTTAAAGTTCAAGCCCTGAGTAAAGGATGAATGTTTAATCACCAAACACTATCAATACACAATCTTACCAAATGGGAAATAATCCATCTGTATTGCGTTTTAAAACTTTGTTGCGTAAAAACTCATATACTGTCATTCTGGAACCTGTGTAAACTGACAAAACAGTGCACAATAGATTAGAGTTTAGTATAAAAAGAAGTAGAGAAAAGGRTATGTTGTAGTTCAGGTTCAATATGATTTTGAACCAGTTCAATTTCTTCTGAACTGGTTCAGTTTATTTTGAGCCAGTCCAATATAACTCAATCCAGTACAAATCAGTTTAGGGTTAGGTTTAGGGTTAGGTTTAGGTTTAGGGTTACGTTTAGGGTTAGGTTTATTGTCAGGTCAGACATGTAGTCTGCTACTGGTAACATTGTAACCCAGTACAACCTGCCTCATGGACGGGTCGTCGGTGTMTAAACCGGCACCCCCACCAGTCTACACTGGTGAGGAGGGTGGCATGACACCCAGCAGGACTAAAAACAAAACCTGTCAAAGCGTGAATGAGCTTGGTTAAGCCACCGGACATCATGCAAAAMCACTTGTTTATTRTGATGTACATCTGATYGTTGTACTTTAATTTTTAGTTTGAGATCTTGGGACAGACTGTGCAGCGGCAGCCAGAGGCGCCAACTCAAGCTCACAGTCTACCAAGACTCTCATGTGTTTTGTAGTTGTCATGTAGTTTTAAAGCGCTTAGAACAGAATTGGATAAGTGCTATATAAATAGGATTATATATTATATTAGTTTTAGGGTTAGGTTTAGGGTTGGGAATAGGGTTGAGCCAGCATTATATAAAAAAATTTTCTTCATAATAAATTACAATTAAGATAAAAACAATTTGCAAACATTACTACCAACAAAATCCTTGATGGTATAATAGGTAGTACTGTGGACTATGAAGCAAGAGTTCAGTGGTTCAAACCCTGATGAAGGTACTAAGTGTTATTCATAAATTAAAAATATTAGAAAATATCAATATTTCTATGGGRTATAGGGTAAGATAAAGTAGGAAATAGTAGACGATAGAAAATAAGATGATAGATAGAAAATGGGAGAGAATGAGATGGGATATACTTCTTTTAGTTCTTTTAAGAATGCCAAAACAAAAACAAAAAAAGGACCAGTACAAGAAGTCTTGTACTGGAACAAATTAGATTAAACTGGTTCAAAAATATATTGAACCTGAACTACAACAGGTACAATAAAAGGTTATGAATATCATGCACTTTATATTATAGTCTTTGCTGTAATTAGATCTTGATACAGTTCTATGACCACATTTAAAAAAAAAAGTTCAAATGCAAGGCTTGCTTGGAAAGGATTGGTTTCTCATTTTGTAGCCATTTGCCTTATTTTATAATAATTACAAATCATGAAAATTTTCCTTGTTACAAATGCTGATATAGCAATAACACATCTACTTGTATCTCAGAAGTTTTTAAACATAAAAATTTTCTTAAAAAAAGTTTCTTACCAATATGTCTCATGACTGCAGGAGTAATGCCATTCCATAGTCTCAACAATCCCTCTTCTCGTACTGTAACAAAAGGGACATATCTGATATATATTTAACAATAATACAGAAAGGTCTGGAAATTCAGATAAATAAAGCACAAAAAGACTGGTTCAAATTAGCCRGCGCTTCACCTGCACTAATTTGGCTTCATGTAAACTTGTGCATTCAGAGGGTCTACATTTACTACTATACATTTGCCCTAATTCCCCAACTGTCATTAAAYTTAAACAGTATATTATTTACCTATGCCAATGGCTGTCTGAACCATTCCCCTATATGCCACAGTATGGCCATTTGAAGACACCATTGAGGCTCTTTCTCCTTGGATCTGTAAACGCGTTTTCGTAATATCCAATGGAAATGTTACTGCAATAAAAATAAGATATTGTTAGAGTAGCTAACAAGCTGTTTCATTCCTTAAATAAGAGAGGGGTGCACTAAATCTGTGAAGCAAATATCATTATTTTATTAAATTATTACTAAATAGTGTTGATTATACAATAAAAGACAATGTAGTTGGAATAATTTATTTTAACTATTTTATATCATAGTTTCACAAATAAATTTCATTCACTCTAAGTTAAGCAAGACATATTGAGGCTGCATAACGTTTATTTGAAAAGTAAAACCTAAGAAGTTTACAAAAACTCATTCAGTGTACCCATGACAAATTAAACAATATGAATATGAGGACCGCATGGCACTATGATAGAACAGATATAGAAATGAAAGAAAGTTATAGTGATTAGAAGGAGGCAATTCCGGAGAAAGACCCTTAGGAATAAATTCGGATCCCAGCGATGTCGGAAATTAATTTTTCTGAATTTATTCCTAAGAGTCTTTCTCCCAGAATTGCCTCCTTCTAAGCACTATAACATCTTTCATTTCTACATCAAATTAAACAATACCATTGTCTTCTATTGTTAAAAAAAAAACATGGCTGCTATTTTTAATATTTGCTTTTGCTTTTGAATAGGACTAGTCAGRTGAATCAAACCAAGTTACAAAGTTCACCAAGCATGATCCACTTCACTCTAAACACAAGACTTGGAAATCCTGCATCACTACAATTTCAAAACATTGTCCAATAAAATATAGCATCTTAAAAGTTACATAACTCATACTAGTACCACAGGATTGGAAAATTGTCCTATTTTCTTAGAAAAATATTRCAATTCTGTCAGAAAAACTGGTCAAGATTGGAATCCCTAGTTCCCCCTCAACTAGGGAAGGTAAGCAGAGAAAGGCTTAACACTTCTATATTAATAATTCAAAACTATACTTCAAAAGGTAATCTATGTGGTATATTTTAGTTTTGAACGTGTGTTTTCAATATGACTTGTCATTAATCMATGATTGTGAGGAGCTGTCTTCAATTTAACCATAGTTAGTAAGGGAGACTGCCTCTCAACTATGGTTTAACTAAAACGTTCTCTTATAGTCTGCTAAAAACAGAGAGAGGACTAATTTTTAGAACTTCATTGCTTTGAACATGCATAAGAAAAATATATTTCATTTCAAAACCATGAGAATCAGTTCAGTAAATTGTGCATGATTGTCAGGCGATCTATTCATGCATCTCTATGGGATTACTGCAATAAACCAGGCAATATCAGGTTTCAATCAATTGTCTCTCTTCTAAGTAGCAGTCATCTTAAAGTTTCCAAAATGTTATAGTCAATGAAAAAAAGGTTTTGGTTTAAATTGAAGTTTGCATGTATTTGAATAATGAGTGTTTTCTTTAGATAGTGGAATGATGACTAATGTACTTCACCTGTCAACACTTTCTATTATAAAATCAAAATAGCACATATTATTGTAACATATTTAAATAATTTACCAGGCATAACAATGACATGGAAATCAAGAAATAGTAGCTATATATAAAGTACATTGAAAATATTGAATATTATTAGAATAAGATAATTCAATTTCTTTGAATGCATGAGTATGAGAAATCCTAATATCGATCCTAATAACGTATCCAGCCAAATATTATCTCTTTGGCGTTTCACCTCTATTACATAACTGAGAACACCGACTGCAATATTCGTAAATTCTACTCGACAAAACGAGAGAGTAAAGTTAACTGAAGTTTTGAATCGAGTTTTCAATGAATGAGTTTTGAAGTGTTGTGATATCACAGCCTAGGGCAAATTGAACTATTCTACAAACTAACAACATAACTTATTCACCATTCCAAATGACTTACAAATAATTTATATATGAGCAGAACGTAAGATATTGTTAAGTTAAATCGTGATAATATGACAACGAAATAAAACAATTCTTGTGACAAAAAAAAAACTTGCGACAAAAAAAAACTTGCATTTACTTGTGAAGTAACGTGATAACTTAACTTAAGTAAGAATTCTTAAGCTTAATACGTGGCTAGGACTTCATTTTCGTTAAATATACTACAATATTACTAGCTATAATAAACATTCTGAGTTACTAATACATTCACCTGTTTCCGCAAAAGTAGCAGCAGCCGAAGAAAGGATATATTTACGCAAAAATCCATTTTGTTTTGAATTTGAAGCCATTCTTTACTCCACTGCACATAACTGTACAATCTGTCGTTACGGTCACGTGTCGTCACGCTGCTGACCCCTCTATTTGTGGGCGCTGTCGGGGGTTTGTCGCTTACACACAGGAAGCCCAGTAATGCTTGATGCAATAGTCAACTTTAGATATTTTGGTTCGATGACTGTACAAAAGAACGCACACGAGGCTCCGGGGAAACAWTGGATAATCTTGATTTATTCTTTTATTTCCCCGGAGCCTCGTCTGCAATTCTTTTGTGCATGGTTACTGAACCAAAATATCTAAAGTCGACTATTTTGAATTTGTATAAAAGCCTGAGCCCTTTACTTTAGTAATATGTGTAAATGTGGTGTAAGAGATTTTTGAAATATTGAACATTGAACGTTCCTCATCCCTTGGCCCTTAGTCCTTATAGTTTTAATCCTTAAAAGGATTCGATTTAAGGCCAGAGTGCACATACAACTAAGATTGCGCGTTCACTGGAAACCAAAAATATGGGTTTTATCAGTCTTATCACCCTTCCCGGCAAAGTCGAACTCAGATTCTTTTCTTTTTTCTGCAAACAAAATCCAAAGTACCTTGGGCACAATTCATGAGCTCGAGGTTAAATTGAGTCGTAATCAACGTACAAAAAGGCCGCGGCGTGGTTAGTTTGGTAAGTACGCATTATTTTATATAACCTTTTTCAAGTGCGTTTGAAATACAAAATAGACTCAGAGCACGAAATGACTGGGTGGTCCTGGGTATAATTGAGGAATTCATGATTGGTTCAGAGGAGAAATATATAAAAAACAATTCCCCCAACTCTGAAAATTTAGCACGAACAAGAGAAAATGATATGCGGCTGAAAACAATTGAATAATCCTAGATGATGAATGATGTAAAATTCAGGTTTGGAGTGAGACAGTGAATCTGTATCGACCGTTCGTGCAGCAGGGGTGTTGRACACAGCGCGAGGTGAATCCTGGGTTGTATTAATTTGACCAAACACATTGCGCCATTTATGATTTTGCGGGAATTRTCCAAATTATCCCAATCCTGACAAAAGGGTTAGYTGCGAAGACTAGGGATTTTGTCRAGGCTCAGCCATGGAAAGTCCTCTATTGATCGTTTTCAAACATTGTTGAGAAGTTCCTCCAAGATGGCCACTGTGACGTAGCCTGAGAATTACAAGTTGTATTTCACGAATTAATTTAAAACTAAAGCATCGTATTTATGATGTTCATCGCCTATATGTTCGGCACAACATCGCACTCARTTCACGAATTTTAGGTTTTATTAAATCAAATGTATATCAGTCATATATTATGAACGCTTTGTACAGAAGTATCRCGGGAACAAATGTTCTTATTCCAGTATAAAATGAATCCATACCATTACAAAGGAAATGGTTCTTCCGTTTCACATGACGGATCTATGTCATAAAATTCCTCGAAGGAACAGGGATCGGGAAGGACTCGACCAACAAATGGATAATCCGAATCATCGAGCAAGTGTCGAAGACTGATCGCAGCCTGCCGACTGTGCACAGAGCCTCCAATCAAAAGACACTTGAAWCCATACGCGGTCCACGAGTAGTAGCTGTGATTCTTGGGCTGACGATTCATGAAACATTGTACTTGAGGGAGGATGCAGTGGTTAGTATCCTCAGATGTAAGAAGGATCAGGGCGTCTGCTGCGGGAATGGTTTCCTTCAGATACTCCTCGGATTTAAGGTAAGACGAGGTAGAAACATTACTCTCTTGGGATTCTGGGTATTCAAAGAGGGGAAGCAATTGCTGGCCTACAAAGAATGACGACAGCGATTATTAGTCTTGGATTGGTTGGTTGGTTAGTGGGTTGGTGTGTGGCTCGGGGGGGGGGGACTCGACCCCCCCTCCCTCCTGGGTTGGTGGGCTGGTTAAGTAGTTGGTTGGTTGGTTGGGTAGTTAATTGTTTGGTTGGTTAGTTGGTTAAGTAGTTGATTAGTTAGTTGGTTGTTCAGGTTATTGCACTGATGTTTTCGTGATTTTTGTTTTTTAGTTTGTCAGTAAATCCTTGTAGATCGGATCCCGGGGGGGGGTACTCGACCCCGTTTTGGATAGGTACGTGCCGCCAGCGGTCTAAATCCCTGACCCTGTTTAAKACACTAGAAAGTGAAAATCCATACCCTGTTCAAGACAAATTGGAAAAATAAGGAATAGCTATCTGCGCCACAACCATCAAAACTGCAATTATACTGACATCCATCAAAGACAATAAGACGTTCTTGATAACACGTTAATCCTGCTACAGTGAAACGGTATTTCTACTATTTCTACGGTATTTCTTATGAAAATATTATCCTGTCTAAGACACACAAAAAAATTATATCGGTCTTTTATCTAAATTGTAGAGCCTGTTTAAGACAATTTCGGGTGAAATGTTTACCCTGTCTGACAGCAAGGCCAAAAACCATACCCTGGCCAGCGGCACGTCCCCGTATAGTAAATATATGGGAGTGCCCCCCCCCCCCCCCCCCCCTCCCCCGGGATCGGATGCTTATCATAGCAGTTTTTCCTCATCATTAGGCTAGTTGGTTGTATTGGATAACAGTTGGCTTTTTTGTTTGTTTTGATCAGCGCTGTGCATGGTGGATGTTCAGTTATGCCATAAGTTCCAAGTTGAAGACGTACCGAATAGAGTAAGGCGGTTTCCATTTTGACAAATACGCTCGAGTAGGTCCTGAGTACGGCAGTACAGGTTGTTGTTGTCTAAGAAGATCACGAGTTTTAATCGATCAACAGTCGACATCATGAAAAGGACCTAAAAGAAACCTACCGGGAGAGTTATTATCAAACAATATATAAAGCTGATGCGCGGCCATGCTGCATGGAGATAAGCAAATCACATTCGCCTATGATCATGTTTCCTAATTAAGAGCGTGCATTAGATATTCAATGCCAATATTCATCCAAATTGTAATCGGTTGCAACTAAACCCAGTTAAAGTTCTTTTTTTCCAAAACACCCACCTGACCCCGCCTTTGATCAATGAATAAGGGAATAAGGTCTTTTAAAGCTCCTTTGTCACAACCTCGAACTATACACCCTTTTAATAAGTCCCGAGGTTTTGTGTTCTCCGCACTTGACGTCAAATTTATTCTTTTGAATTCCTTTTGTGTTGTAAAATTTTCAAAAGAATAAATTTGACGTCAAGTGCGGAGAAAACAATACCTCGGGACTTATTAAAAGGGTGTATAAATCCCTTTTTTCAGTGTGTGTACTTGTGCGTATGACGCTTCAAGTGGAAACCGAAAAAACATGATAAGTTGTGGATACAAAAATTCACACGCAAAAATTAGAACCGAAGAATTGTTGTGAAAATGCGTTATTTTACTCAGTTGTTATCTCGCTTGACCTATGACTGATTGCTAAATCGATTGAATTTCCGTTGGATCCCTCATACATTTTAGCGGTTTTACAGATTCTCAATATTCAAAGCTAACCTAGTAATAGTTCTGGTTCCGTGATATCTATAATTTCAAACTAATCGTTTCTGTGTCAAATATCGCTGTCTTTTCTGCAGCGTATTTTTTCAGTAATGACTCTAGATAACAGCAGACGACCGAATCGGCACTTCTCACATCTCAACAAAATTGGTTTCTTCAATTTTCAAGCCCAATATTTTTCATTTAATTGTATGTAATTGCAAAACCCAACTCTTTCTTCATTTCTATTAGTGTCATATTGCAAGCCGGAAAGTAAAATTTCGACCCTGTTSCCAAAATCCTACAAAAAATGAAAATGATTTTACCTGGTTCTTCAATTGTTTTGGTTGAGAAAGAGTTTCCAAAAATTCCTGGTTGCCAGCGCATCCAAAGAGCTTTGCTCTCGATTGAAAGTACCCTGGTCAGTCTCCCGGTGTATATATATGTAGGGCCAGGTAACGCTCGCTAAACTAAACAATGAGTTCTGGACTCTTCATATAGAGAAGACAGCTGTGGGTATACAGCATTTGACATAACATTGTCGCAGTCGAGTTACCTTAAATGGCCGAAATGAACATTGGGAAATCTACTGAAAAAGATGTAATTTCAAATATTGAATCATGGAGCTTGAATCTAAAAGATGAGCATTCACAAGAATTCTGTCTGAATCTAACAAATCAAATCACCTGTACTTAGTCTTTTAGCTTCGACAATGTTGTCTACCCATAGCCCCTTTCGGTCTTAGTAAAGTTGTAAAATGACAAGAGTTTGTCAAACGAAGTCTGTACCCTTACGTGACCAGCCACTAAGAAAACAGCGAATTCTAAATCAGAAAGTCATGGAAGGGGCTAGCATCGGATGCTGACAAACTTATTAGTTAGATTTTACGCAAAAATATCTTAAAATATGTAAAATTKACTCCTTTTCTCAGTATTCAGAAAGAGAAATGGGACTAATTAAAGTTGATGTTTTGAGAGATCTTTCTATTGAAATYCATACCTTTGTTTCCAAGTAAACCTTACTGCACGAAACCCAACCGCCGACTAAAACTGAACACAATTGCGACGTTATTCATTTCAACCCACCAAAACAGGTCAAAACAAAACCCTTGACTGAAAAACTATCCAAAGCGCAAACTATACGGCGCCGAGAATTGACGAGCTMTTTCTGGTGCGTAAACATGGTACTTTTGTTATTTATAAATGTTTAGAAACGCTAGACTTTAATTGCAATATTCATGCTGTGAGCGGCACAGAGACCTATAATGAAAAGTTTCAATAAAAAAAACAAAGTGGATTAAGTTACAAAGGCTTTCATGTACATAACAGATAACTCTAAATGAGATTGCAGATGAAACTGAATGAAATCGAAAAAATGATAAATTGGGAAAGAATTACACTAAAGGATTACGCAGGAATTGGAGACTAAAGTAACGGGACTGACTGTCTTTTGAAGGTCAGAAGTAGGAGAAAATGAAATGATATAGCTTTCAATGTCAAAAATCTTATCAATCGTTTGACCTTCAACGCAGTATCTAGTAAGGTTTAAGTGCAAAATCCTCGACTTCTGATATAGCATGTGCTTTGTCTTCACACGCAAGATATTATCGACAAATAAAAATAACAGTAAACGTTATAATATGCTAAATGGACAAAGGAAGGAAGGGAAAATGAGTCTAGTCAGGAAGTCACTATTATTGATACAGAGGTAAAAGAAAACAATGGATTTAGGAATTGCTAAAAAAATTCGTAGGCCCATCCACACACTTTGTTAACGGTTTGTGACGGACTGTACACCGGATATTTCTTTGGTGGGTAGCACAATAACTGTCTGCCAACGCTTTTATCGTAAACGCTTGTATGAAATACGACCGAACATAATTGTGAGGACGCGGGAAGATATTTATAGTCATTTTTAAGTCGTTTATAGTGAGGTGTTGCACATTAAAATGTCTCAAGGGTTGAAGTGTAACGATTCTAAATGGGAACAAAGCGTCTATCATAGACATCGATGAAATTATCAGGTTACATAATATCCTCTATTTGACTTAGTTATAACAAGGTTTACTTTTTATAAAATTAATCTTTGAATCGTAAAAAATATAAATTTCAACAACGAAGAAATTTCTTCTTTACATGCTTTGTATTACATCAAGCACCTATCGCGCATGTTCTAATATGATTTGTACACCTATCCCACATGGTAGAGTGAAGTCATTTAACCCGTGAAACAAAATTTGACTATTAAGGAACAATTCAATTAGAGCACACTGAGATGTATAAGTGTAATAACTATTCACGAGTTTTTTGACTACACTTTATTGCTCTCAATTAAGACGTCGTTTTCATTCAAAACAAAGACAAACACGCACACAAATAATGTAAAAGTTTGATTTATTATTAATAGTTAGAGGAAGCAAACAATAGATAAAAATTGACAGACTACCGAGTAGAGATATTATGCTAGTTCCTCGTCTAACGCTTTGCCCTGAAAAACAATACATTACTGTAAGAAAAAAAAGAGACACTTCTATACTTAGATGTACTATCGCAWCAATACTATTCTGACCACTGAAGCAAAATACCCAGAATGCMTTCCGAGCAAATGAAACTTTTCAGCAAATCATCCGGCGTTTACCCGTAAACAAGGACAGTTACGTTCGAGAATACACAGAATATACACARGCTATATGAAACACTAAAATGTTTTGAAGCACTTTCTAAAAATATAAGACTGTTTCAATGGACAAATGCATATTCTTCCGAGCATCCTGGTCCAGCGGTTCCCATTCAAGAATGGTATAGAGAATAGTGTCTTACCGACGAGCTGCTATTCCGCTTAGAAGACTATTGGCTGAGAGAAACGTCACTCCACCAATAACAGCAAGGTACTTGAGTGTTGAAAACATGTCCTACAACATGAGATGAATGTAGTCAGTACTCCCTAATTGTAATCGCATGTAGAAAGTCTTTAGAATAAGAAGCAAAGCAAAACTTACCAGTTTYACCCAGAAGAGATAATACAATACAAAAATACCTAGAAAAAAAAATAGAATATTGTCATATGACAGATGCAAGATATAATGTAAAAGACTATGAAAGACTCCTAGCCACCATCAACATCTCAACCTCGTTCCCAGGTGTTTGCCCTTTACTTCTGACCTCAAAAAAAGGACCTGGAAACAAGGTTGGGTTGAGTCGACGATGTGAATATAGACCGTACCTCCTAGACCAATGTGGAATGCAATCCCTCCCAAAGAGAACTGGAAGTTGGATATGTTAGCTCCAATGTTGATCCACTGAAAACAAACATGTTTCTATTAGCAATTATAAAATTTTTGATATATAACACGCGTTCTGATTGGCGGACGACCGTGTTTATATTAGAGGAAAGAGACAAGGCTTACCGGAAAAATTTGTTGAAAAGCAATCGAGAGGCAAGAGAAACACTCGCTACTCTCGTGTTTCTAAGCTTGCTTTTCTCGTGTTTTTCAACTCCCACCGTGTTTATATCAGAGGACAGAGACACGGGCGTCGTATTATATTTCTTAAATAACTGCACGATTGGTTGTTATGGTGACGTGTTTAAAACAGACAAGTTTTGTCGTTTGAAAAGAACATAGTTACGGAACGGTTTACAGATTAGAACGTTTATCGGATATTAAGTAATTCTGTCACCCTCTTGGCGACCACAATAGATTTCTGAACCTTTTACGTCACTACTTGATTTTCAATGCATTGTGGGATCAGTTTCAAGAGAAAACAAAAGAAATCCGCCATGTTCTGTCCCAAACATATCCTACAATGCATTGCGTATACGGTACATGACGTAAAAGCTGCAGAGGTCTATTCTTAGCGTTAAAACAATATAATGATTTTGTGATGTAATTATGGGGCAATTGTTTGTCAGGTTCAAAAACGTTACATCATTGAAGGTACGACAGAAAGGGATTCTGGGAGTGCAAATAATAATTCATTTGTACCAGTATTTAATTCCCAATCACTAGACAAACGAACCAAATTTTCATTGCCTCTTCTACGAGAAATGCTTATAATGTACAGAATAAAACAAATTTGATTTATATTACCCAAAATTCCCTTTGCTCTCAGTTCTATCGATGTCATCTTTTTTACCAGTATTTTGTTATTTAAGTGAGTTTAAATTAACATGTTACTTCGTCTTACCAAGATAAGCATCACAACAAATGGAACAAAGATGAGTGCTGTGAAGGCAGTAGACACTGTCTGTGATGGCCGCTTCTCAGGCTGGCGGAACATATGCTAAGTAAGGATTAAAGAAGGTRTCAGTACTGTGTTGTGTGTGTTACTTATTGGACTGTAAACAAGACATACATCTATAGTAGGTTTAGTAGAATACATGGTCTGCTTTTCCTTCTTGGCTTTCACAGGTTGATCACCAAACGTCAATGCTAAAACACCCTAAACACAAAGGATTTATAAGGTAACATTGCACAACAGAACAGAATGGAAGGGAATGGATTAAAACAAGGCCAAAATAATAATATAAATCATAGAATGGTTTTCATAAACCCGTGAAACAAAGTGTAATAATTAGAGTGTAATAGATCGTAATAGTCGCGTAGAGAATAAAAAAAAGAGCCAAAGTGTAATAGCGATAAATACGCTAAAGTGTGTTTCACGGGTTAATGAAAACCACTCTAGAGCAGAGTAGAAATAGAAATAGAAACTAAATACTTAGTAACTAATAGGCACTATTTAGACACTATCACTGAACCAGAACAGTACAAAGAGATTACTTTGATTGTTATAGTGGTCTCTTGGGTATTGCTTATTGGATCAAATAAAGTGTTCTGGTTCAGTGCTAATGACTATTAGGAACTTATATTGCCTATTAGTTAGTACTTTTTAGTTTTTATTTCATGGTTCATGTGACTCTGCTCTACTAAAAACAGAATGGCATTTAATCACAATAACAAGAATATTGAGGTGGAGAGGTACTTACTACATTCCACTCTAAAGGATTTTGAATGACAGCATC